GGCATAGACTAACTTTTGTGAAATTCCTTTTCACGCGCTGAAAACACTCAGGCGCGAGCCGCTTCTGAATGTTGAAATGCGACAAGTGTTGGCGATGGACGCTTTGCCTTTGCGCCTCTGAAGTGGAATTCTATGAACGGTAAAGTTACAAACAAGTCTACGAAGCTGCAGGTTACTACTGGGGCAGTGCTTCACATTCTATGGGTCGAATGCTGCAAATTTACCTAACTCAACAATGAGCAGAACTTTACGAAGAGCTTTGCAGATTCATCTACAGAATGCGCCAAAATTACCTGCTCTAATATCCACCATTGTAAAAGCGGAAAACAATAGATTGAGACATAGTTTCTAAGAACAGACTACCATGAAACGCTATTACGGAACATTGGTCCACACCTGTCGTCGTCCATGGGCTCGAATACGGGCCTTGGAACCTGAAGTTAGGTCGTCCACCGCGGCGCGACGGTACTAGGAAGAAATTTCATTCTAATGTTTATTCAGGTTTTTCTTCAATGCCTGGATTGAGTGATGCTTTTGAGAGCAGGCCTTGCTCTCCAAGGAGCACCATACGTAACATTTCATTGCTTTCAAATGGGGCCCACAGGTTGGCCTTTCTCGACCACTGATGATGTCTGTTGGGTGGCTTTGCATCACCGCTGTGTCATCTTTAATCTATGGTTCAGTGCGGAACCATGTTGGAGCGCGAACGGGCTGGATTCGATAGTCCCCTGTTCACAGAGACACGTTATCGCTTAGCACGCTTTTCGGGCTCACTTTCATCTCAAAAACAATATCCTATTCGATGAAAACCAACGGATGAACTTGGCTTCGTGAGCGATCATTGCTCGAACCATTTCTTTCTCAAGAATCCGGAGCGTTCAAAAATTATATCTTTCTCGTTAGCAGCCCCAGCTATTTGGCAGAGCGCCCGACCATTTTCACGATTATAGTCGTGAACGCCTCCTCATCGCAAAAGACGGCGCGCCAACGTCAACCCTTTCAAGCAGCTTGCACATCAAGACCCAGTTTTTCCAAAAGGATTCAGTTAGAGATGGGCTTTCTGGCATCGATAAGGGATAACCCCAAATTCTCAAAGACAACCAGGTATGGTTTACTCCCAACTTTTGGACAATCTTCCCACTGGTTTCGTCGGACTGCGTGTCACATTCATTCCATATCTCAACCACTTTGACGTTTTTTATGGATACCGCAGCTGCTTTTTACTCTCTCCCTAGACAGTCATGCGTAACTCGAAAGTCCTTGAATCGTTCAATAGTAAATTTCACATTTCTTCTGTGAACGAGAGTTTGGCGTTTGATTTTGCACAGTGGTCAAGCTGGAACAACTGAGTGATTTCGGATCAGAGAGAATAAGGCCTGATAATTTTGAAAGAAACAAGAGCTGGGAACTATACTAAACTGCTCATAGAATACGAACGATTACAAATAATCAATGTATCAAACCCTGCATGTTCGAGTAAGTAATTCTGGTGCATCCTGCAGCATTCGGTGTACTCGAGTACTTGGAAAATCTTCCACTCTCCCTCGTATGATATATGTATTTATGTCCCAAGAGAATTAGACCAATTATTGGGGGTCATCTCGACTCTGATTGCTGAGATACGACTGCAACTCCTTCACTTGCTAGTGGTATTCTTAACAGCGTTCGCTCAAATGCAGTAAACAAGAATGTGTGTTATAAAGAAAACTTACTCAGAGGTATTTTCCGCATGTAGATTACATAGAATGTATAGCATGCTATGATTGAAAATACCATAGATTATAAATAATATGGTAAGCAATTGGAACCTAATGCCCCGCAGCGGCTGGACCACTCCGCAAAAGACGTTTCTGTAATAGGAGCTTCAGCGCAGTTTTACCTACCTTGTTGGTATAAAAAATAACACAGCTAAGCAAGGGAGGTAGCAAACTCTTTGTGAACCGCGGCTGGAATGTGACACTAACAGTCAAGCTCTTTTGTGTCCATTGACCAACTGCTGTTGCTACTGCATGAAAAAGTGTAATCGTATTGTTTAGCACTTCTGTGCCACACAGATTTGTGCGATGGAACATTACTCAGCTGACGTTCCCACAAAATCATCTAGTAGTTCGAGAAGTTCTTCAGTGTAACCTTTCCGCCTCAACGTAATCAAGTGTCACCCATACTGATGAACAGGAGTGGAAAATTCCTAAAACGTGTCTTGCATCCCGATACCAGCAGCGCCGTTGATCCGCTGGAAATATTTCTGTTATTAACGCATGGATTGCATTGTTCAAACAGAATGCTTCAGAGGTTTCAGGCACAGATATGGTTCTCTAAAGGCACAACTCAGGCAGAAGTCGAGTAAAAGACTCCTTTCGGTCTGTAGGACAGGGAAGGGCAATCACAAATGATCTCGCTGATTTAGCTTACTAGGGAAGGATGAAGGGTCGAAGTGGCCATATGAAATGAGACAAGTATCATGGTATGTGGTTTCGGACGCTGATCTCGAATCTTCTTCCCAAATCTGCCAAACGATTCGCTGAACGGAGTTACGGAGGTTTTTTGTTCCCTCACACAGTTTAAGACAGTGGGGAATCGGCCTCAGCAGCAGCGGCTTGTGAACGAAGCAGTGATCCTATTTGATCGGGTGCTGGTGGCCTAGGGTTAAGGTGGTGGGCTTGGGATGTCGGGGTCAGTGGTTCGGATCCGCCGCGTGTTTTTCCTTTTGCATTTTTGTGACTGACTATTTGGCAGTAGTGAAACATGATTCCTTCATCATTGGTCAGCCCTACTTGCTTTTGGATGAGTTTGAGGTCGATAACTTCGAAATTTTTCCTAACTTGCATGACACTACATAGTTAGAACGACAAGCCGGTACCAGTACGGACCAGTAGGCAGCAACGCACTTCAGCCGTTTTCGAGTAAACGAATGTGAGATCTGTGTTCAAGTAGTCCAATAACTCCTGGGGCCGATTTCTAGAAAAATTCGAGATTTTGAATTAACTTCAAAAAAAGTGGGCGAGTCACTCATTGATGCTACATATCCATAGCCGGTAGTTCCAGGGTTGACCTATTTTGGACGACGGCGACCCTTTAAATTTGAAAATAATAAAATGTGGGTGTTGAAATCATGCGAACAGAAAACAGACACTGCTTTACACTCTTCAGAAACCAAAAAAAAACTTATATCGTCTCAAGGCTATATAGGCTTCGATGATAGGCTGATGGATGAATGGATAGATACCCACCCAGCTTATTTCGAAATTTGGTCGAAATCTCAAATTTGGCTACAAACTTGTCCCTAGGGGTATTTTAATCTCCGGAACACGAATATCACACTTGTTTGCTGCAAAAACGTCTGCCAAGAGTTCTGTGGGCTCCATGTGCAGTCTTTAGTAAGTACCGCCGAAACTGATTAGAAACTCCTCGCAAAGTCTTTGCACGGGTAACTACAGGCAAGCATTGATCGAGTAAGGTAGTTGGGAGCCTTTTTCAATCATTTTGCAGCGAAGGCAAAAAAGAGAACCCGCCAGGGAATCGATCCTACGACGTCTCGCACGTGAACCCGGACTACTACCGCTGCACTACTTTCCTTCATAACTCCATTCGGAAAATCGTTTGGCAGATTTGGAAAGCAGATTCGAGATCAGCGTCCAAAAACGCATCCACCGGTGTAGGTCTCTTTACATATGGCCACTTCGACCAATCATCCGTTCCTGGTGCTGGATTAAAAGGTTGAATTAGCTCCTAATTAGAGTAATCCTTCGCGAAAAAATCTGATTTTATCTCACCCATAAATCACTGGTTTGAAACTCAACGAAAAGAACAGGAAATTGTGTTGTTTTTGGTAAACTATTCGAAAACCGGACTGATTGCTACGCGACCTACGCCTTTAGTACCGTCCATAGAATGTGGCGCTGGTGAAGTTTGGTTCTCTTCGGACAATGGACCTTCCTCCGCGAATCTATGTGATTTTCTCTTTGTGATCACAACTGACGTACTCTTCTTGGGAAAATGCGAGAATTCCCCATCAGGGATTTCTTCAAAGTGTTTTCAACGGATCTTTTCGTTTTCTTTATTATCAGCCAATTCCGCACCCATGTTTTCAAATTCATGTGCAAAATACACACTTTTACCCTGGCCATGCCTTCGAGCTAGTTTTGTGTCACGTAAAAGGGCATGCCGTATTCGAATCTAACTTAAGCCTATACAGTTTTGACTGTAGATTTTTAGGAATTGTTTCAATTGATTAGCGCTCTATAATGTGATTATCAGATGCAATTTTTGGATTTGTCAAGCATCGCCTTCCCCCATCCAAAGAAGCAGTCGTTTGCACCGCCATCTTGATCGTGGTGTTTAGCAATTGCGGTTGTATTGCATTGGACACCATTACGATCTCATTCAGCTAACAATAAGTGCTATGACGACCAGTTTGGATGTGGGAGACAGGCTACTGCGGTTACTAGGCGAAAAGTTAGCAAGATACGGGGTGCGATCGAGCCGAGGCACTAGTTAACTGTATGTGAGGTAAATGCGGAAAAATCTTGCTTAGTCAGAAGGCTTCTTTGCATTTCAAGATAAA